CCCATGGCTCCTGACCCTACCCCTCCCAGTCAAGCCAGGACACCAGCCTAGGCACTCACCCTCAGGTAGCTCCTCCATGGGCTTTATGTACTCTAGCCAGTTCCTATGGACATGTGCGACAAGCTCAATGTTGCGGGTGCACTTCAAACTGGGCTCTGCTCTGGGTGGGATCCCACAGGGATGGGAGGGCTATGGGAGGGTAATGGGACGGGCTACGGGAGGCCAGCAGCTGAAATGCACTCCCTGGGCCTCCTCAGTTTCCTGGACACAGAGCACCTTCTGGGAGCAAACAGACACACCTGCTGGGTAGCACCGAGCTGGGGCAAGAGGGAGCACCATGACTCTCAGGGTCCCACCACCATCCAGGCTGACCCTGGTGTAGACATCACACACCTCCTGGGTGGGCCAGACCCTCCTTCGTTGAGCACGCACACACTCACTCTCACAGCTTGCAACCCACACTCACAGGGGGAAAGGGCGGGGTGGGGGGCATCAGAGCTCTGGCCCGGCCTCACCTGTCCCCAGGGTCCCCCTAGTTACCTTAGGGGCAGTGCTGCCTGCTAGCCTGAGATGTCGACACAGGCTCCTCATGACTTTCCTCATGACTTTCCCCCTAGGCTACCATGAAGGCCCAACAACCCCAAATTTACATGTTCCATGTATACCACCTCTATTGTGTATTTGGGAAATTCCTAAAATGACCACTTATTTGGTTCCTTCGCTGGGAATCCCCCCGCAGGATTAGCAACAGAGGCAGCAGGCAGGTGAGGGCATCGGGAATTGAAGGGCCAGGGAAGTGAATGGTTTGGCTAAAGTGTTTCCACTGGGGAGATGATTTTCTGCAAGTAAAAGGAGGCCAGGCCTATGAAGAGACTGGACTTCAAAGCATTAGACAACTTGGGTGAAATGAAACAAACTTTATTAGTATTTCCACAATGAACCAGAAACCTGAATGGAAAGAAAATGAAACCTCAACTTGAAACAATTAAAACCAAAAGATTTTGAACAACAAGACAAGACCCAGTTGTCTTGGGTGGGGACACGGTAGAAGCTAAACAAGGCATGTGGCTAGGGAGGAGGGCGAGGACAGGTTTGGGGTCAGCAGTGCTGAGTGGAGGCACCAATTGCATTGGATGTGGACAGGCAGGTCCAGGGCCATAGGCTGTGTCCTTGGAGGGGTGGTGTCAGGTGAGCACCCTCTATTTTGCTGCAGGATCCCTGCAGGGGCTGGTTCCCCAGGCAGGGCTGCTGCTGGCTTAGAACCCTCTCTTGAACCTTCAGGATGTTGGCCAGAGGTGGCTGGTCATTCTCTGGTTCCTCCTGCAATACTCCTGTTGCCTCAGAATCCTCAAAGAAGTGTGCAGGATCCCAAGTCAGAGGCCTTAATCAGAGACATCCTGCAGGGGAGGAGGCAGAAGAAGGACCAGAGGGAGGGAGGGAGGAGCACAGGGGACTGAGGTGATGGTGCACGGGTGCCTTGCAGAAGGAAACTCTAGGGGACTGTATCTGATGGGGTGAGGGGGAAGCAAAGAGTGTTTGCAAGTGAAAAATGATGTAAAAAATAAAAAAAGAAGAATATCAAAAACAATACAATCAAGCCTGCGGGCTCCTGCTCCTGTCTTGGCTGCCCCAGCAGTGGGGGTGTGAACTGCCCACACTGGGCAGCTCCTGAAGCATCCTGGCCTATACCTGTCTCCCGCAGTGGGGCTGGTATGAACACACCAATGCCAGCATGCCCTGCTGGGGCCTGGCTAGGGCCTGGCTCCCCACAAACTGGTGGTGTGAGTTTGTGCCCACCAGGTTGTCCTGCAGTTTGTAGGTCCTGACCTGGCTTCCCCAACAGGGCTGGTATTAGTTCAGCATCTTGGAGACCTCCTGGGGAACTCTGGGGAGTTTCAGGCTGACTGTACAGGGGTTCAGTGACCTCGGAGGCACCGGGATCATCCTGGGCATTTTCTGCCTGACTCAGTAGGCCTGCTTGGGCTCTCCTGTTGCTCTGGAACCGCATATGCAGAAACAGATTCTCCTGTCCCTTCAGGACCCCTTGTGACTATTGGCGTCCAACCCGCCAGGATAGTGGGCCCTTGGGGGTCTCGTTCCCTACATTTGGCAACTGCAAGTCCCAGGTCATACTGCTTAGGGTCCAAATCCAGCCCGTGTGGTCTCCTCCCATGGCACCTGACCCTACCCCTCCCAGTCAAGCCAGGGCACCAGCCTAGGCCACTCATACTTGGGCTGCTCCTGCATGGGCTTTATGGACTCCAGACAGTTCCTAAGGACATGTGCAGCAAGCTCAATGTTGGGGGTGCGATTCAAACTGGGCTCTGCTCTGGGTGGGATCCCACACTAGGCTGAGGGAGGCCTGTCGCTGAAATGCACTCCCTGGGCCTCCTCAGTTTCCTGGACACAGAGCACCTTCTGGGAGCAAGCAGACACACCTGCTGGGTAGCACCGAGCTGGGGCAAGAGGGAGCAGCCATGACTCTCAGGGTCCACCACCATCCAGGCTGGTCCTGGTGTAGACATCACGCACCTCCTGTGTGGGCCAGATCCTCCTTCCTTGAGCACGCACACACTCACTCTCACAGCTCGCACACCCGCACTCATGGGGGAAAGGGAGGGGTGGGGTCATCAGAGCCCTGGTGTGGCCTGACCTGTCCCCAGGGCCCCCTGATTTCCTTAGGGTCAGTGCCGCCTGCTGGCCTGAGACGTCGTCACAGGCTCCTCATGCCTTTCAGCAGAGGGTGACATGCGTTTCAGGGACCTCTTTTTGGGTCACTGTGGGGGGACCTGGGCATACAGCAAGAAAGCATGGTGCCTGGACCAGGAATACCAGTCACGTGAGCCGGGTAGAGTTTGTGTTCAGAACCCAGCTGCCTGGGGACCAGCGTTCTGAGTTCTGTGCCGTGTCATCTCATGGAGGTGATGTCACTTCCTGGGTCCCCTTCTCTGGACTTCCTGCTCAGACAGATGCCCCCCCCCCATCCCTATGGCTACCTGGGCCCTTCCTGTTCACCCTCCATGCCAGGCCCAGTCCACAACACTGACAGCAGCACAGCCTCCCCAAGCCCTTGGATGGCGAGTCTTAGCCAGGGCCCCTGCTGGGTACTCTGGCCTCTGGCTGCTGACCTGGCTCATCCTCCCTGCCAGGGAGCAGGCCCGGCAGTATCAGCAACTCCAAGCTTCTGTCTTCCATGGGCCTGGAGGAGCTCCAGAGTATGGAGCCTCTCCCTGGGGCAGTCCTGGGGAGTGGGCCACTCCTCTCTGCTGCCCTTGGAGGGTGGTTGGTGTCAGGCTCACAGCACTTGGAGGGTTCCCCCTTGGGGAGGGCACCTGCACACGCCTCACCCAGGCTCGGCCAGCCCTGCTGGGGGCAGAGTCATCTCCCACCCGGTGTGCCTGTTCTCCTGAGAGGTGGAATCCACCCAAACTCAGCCCTGCTCCTCTCTGGCCGTGCCCTACAGGGGTCTTGTGGGCCCGAATCAAAGGGCCAGAGCCACACACATCCTGCGAGTGCCGGCCACAGTGTTCCCAGGGCGCCCTCCTTGCTCGCAGATGTCTGCTGACCCTGTCCGGCAGTGTTATTTACTGAGGGCTGGGTTACGGCTGGATGATGAGGCCCGAGGCATGGGGTGTCCACTCCTACAGTGATTAGCTCCTTGCTGTCCTGTCCACGCTAGCTGACTCTCCCTTTCTTCTGTCTCTGTGTTCCTCTGACTCTGATTTTCTCTCTGCCTTTTTGGTCCGTCCTCAGCTCCTTCTCTCTGTTTGTCCCGGTCCTTCTCTTCATGACCGTTTCTGCCCCAGTGTTCTGTGTCCCCCTCTGTTTCTCTCTGGGTTCCCTGAGTGCTGCTGACTCTAGCTCAGCTCCCCTTAGGTGATCAGACAGTCCCCAGGCCCTGCGGCACCCCGTGAGAACAAGTTGGAGACGCCAGGGTTCTTCTGCCGGTCGGGCAGAGTTCATACAGCTGAGGGGCTGTGGGGCAGGGTTGCTGGGAGGGGAGGACTGGGTGTGCCCTGTGCTCTCCAGTGAGGGCAGTGAGAGTGAGTGAGGGGATGGCTGCACCCCATGGGGACAGAGGCCCTTCCTGGCTCCAGGTTGCCTGAATGTTGATGAAAATGACCTGGACGGCCACAATCCATGTTGCGTGTAAACAAACTGGGCCCTGGGAGGAGGCCCTGAATTTGGCCCTGGAGTCTAATGCAAGGTTTTATTGATGGAACCTCCATCTAAACACGTGGGCTGAGCTATCACGAAGCACAGAACCTGAACAGAGGGCCTGCTGGGAGGCACAAGATAGCTCTGTGCTCTGGCTCTTCTGGCCACTATCCAGGCACCAGCCCTGAGGGCTGCTGATCCATCTCTGGCCATGCGGAGCCACTGTTTGCAGGGCTTGACAACAGGGTTCAGCAGAAACATGGCCCAAGAGGCGAGTTATCTTCAAATATTAACCACTGGATATTTCCGGATCTGCAGACAAAATCCGGCACTATGTGCTGCCATCTACACGTCACAAGCTTTACCTAATGACCTACAACCTGGCTTCAAGACATCTATAATTCAACAATGATCATTTGTGTCCTAATAATTATAATTCAATAATAGACAACAATCTATTCAATGAAATTGTAAAGTTGGATATCCCATTACAGCTCCACTCTGGATGACACCCTCTTCCTAAACTACATTCTTCTATAGACACATGTTCATAACATGGACTGTTGGATACAATAGTAATACTGTCCTGATTACACTGATATAGTGATACAAATCTGATTTGATTAGCTATTAGTCATTTACCCTACCCTACTGTATACCTAAAATTCAAGAGATGGCAAATAATCATTTTTCTTTGGGTGTAGAAGAACTGGGGTGTAGGCCAGAGGTGTGGAGGGATTTCAGGATTCAGCAGACACAGAGTGTGATTCACAACAGGCAGATTGACTGAATTACACCACTGGGGGGAACCGTGGGCAAGACATGCGGGGTCTGCTGCACCATAGATGGGTTTGCTCCCTGGCCTGGGCTCGACTCAGGATTCAGCCATGGCAGTGCTGAGACTTTACCCCTAGGCCACCACGGAAGTCCAGCCAACCCAAATAGACAGACACCATGTATGCTACCTCTAATGTGTGGTTGGGATGATCCCAGAGTCACCATTTATTAGGTTCCTTCCTTGGGATCCCCAGGCAGCAATGGGAACAGAGGTGGCAGGCAGGTGAGGGCATCATGGCCTGAGAGGGCTGGGCAGTAGTGGTTTGGCTAAATGGCTCCCACTGAGGAGTTGGTCGTCTGCAAGGCCACAGTGAGGAGGAGGCCAGCCCTGTGAAGGGAATGGACATCAAAGGAGTAGACAACTTGGGTGAAGAGAGAACAAGTGTATTAGCATTTGTACAGTGAACAAGAAATCTTGGAGGAAATACATGAAAATAACTTGAATTAGGAGACCAAGATTTGGAACTACAAGAGAAGGGCCAGGTGTCTGTGGGTAGAGGCCTTGTAGAAGTTAAAGAAAGACATGTGGCTAGGGAGGTGGAGGAGGAGAAGTTGGGGGTGGAGCAGTGCTGAATGGTCAGTTGTCCCTGATGAGGACAGGCAGTACATGGTGAGGGGCTGGGTCCCTGGAGGGTTGGTGTCAGGTGAGCACCCTCGGCTTGTGCTATGAATCCCTGCAGGGCCTGCTTCCGTAGGCAGAACTGCTGTTCCTTTAGCTCCCTCACTTTAACCTGCAGGAAGCTGGCCAGGGCTGATGCTCCAGCAGGTCTGGTGTGAGCTCAGGATCGCCTGCACAGGCTGCATTCTCTGGGGCATGGCCTTGCTCTCCCAGCGAGGGTGGGGTGAGCTCAGCGCCATCCTCATGGGGTGCAGCATCCTGGTCATTGTCTGGTTCCTCCAGCAGCACTCTTCTTGCCTCAGAGTCCTCAAAGAAGTGTGCGGGATCCTAAGTCAGAGGCCTTAATCAGAGACACCCTGCAGGGGAGGAGGTAGAAGAAGGACCAGAGGGAAGGAGGGAGGAGCACAGGGGACTGAGGTGATGGTGCACGGGTGCCTTGCAGAAGGAAACTCTAGGGGACTGTACCTGAGGGGGTGGGAGGAAGCAAATAGTGTTTATAAGTGAAAAGTGAAGTTAAAAAATAAAAAAGAAGAATATAAAAAAAAAAATACAATCAAGCCTGCAGGATCCTCCCCCTGTCTTGGCTTCCTCAGCAGTGGGGGTGTGAACTGTCCACACTGGGCAGCTCCTGAAGCATCCTGGCCTATTCCTGTCTCCCACAGTGGGGCTGTTTAGATCCTGTCTCCTGCAGGCAGCATCAAGTTGGGTTTTGTTTTTGGTACAACCAGTCACTCTGTGTCTTTCTCTTTGGTGAGTTCAATTCATTTCCATAAAGGGTGATGACAGGATGACTTACTACTGCGCTTTTGTCTTCAGTCAAATCCAGGCAAGAAATGTGTGGTATCTGGAGAGGGTGGTGAGGGCTCCAGGGTCACTGCCTCCTTGGTCCCCTGGTCAGTTTGGAGGATGGTGTCGGTCCAGAGGCCCAGACATTAGCCAGGTGGCTGGGGTTCTGACCTGGGCACTGCCATAACCCCTCAGTCTCCATGTCCTTGTTTCTGAGAGGGTGTGGGGGAGGGGTGTCAGGACAGTATCACTTCCCAGTTCACAGAGTGCTGGGGAGGGACCCCCGAGGTCACACAGAGAAAGTCACTGCTGAGGTCATGTAATCGGCCTTTCATCAGCTCCCTGAGCCACATCTGTTCCTGTGGCTTTCAAGACCCAGATCCCATGTCCCCTTCCTGCTGAGGAAGGAATCTCCCTGGCTCTGCCCTTGGCCCCCTCTGAGGCAGCTACTGCAGCCCTTCTCTCCTCACACACCCCAGGCTGCAGGGCCTCCTGCATTGGGTTAGGGTACCTCAAATGTCCACTGCAGGTCTGTGTCAGCGGAGTCGCCTAGGATGTGCTTAGAGAGAAGTTCCCTGGCCCGTCCCCAGAGGCAGAGAGTGGGCTATGCCTGCCCAGGGCTGGGGAGGGGAAGGTGGGGGTGGTGCCCATGGGCCCAGACCCAGGAAACAAGGTTGTTGTGGTGATGGGATGTTCTCAAGGTAGAGTATGGGATGATTGCTCTGCTCTGCACTTACCAAAAGGACATGACAGGTGAGCCTTCAACAAATGACAAAATGGCCAAAAGTTATATCTCAATAAGTTTGTTTTTAAAACATTAAAAAATGGGTCTACAAGTTGCCCTGTGTCTGTCCTCCACTGTATCCTCCTCCAGGGCTTGTGGGGCAGGAAACTGCCTCAGCCCACGAGGAGCTGAGCACAGATGGTTTCACTGCACAGATGCTCTCAAGGCACCTCCTCTGCATGGTCCTGAGTGGGGCTGGTGTGAACACACCACTGCCAGCATGCACTGCTGGTGCCTGGCTAGGGCCTGGCTAGGGCCTGGCTAGGGCCTGGCTCCCCGCAAACAGGTGGTGTGAGCTTGTGCACACCAGGTTGTCCTGCAGGTTGCAGGCCTGGCCTGGCTTCCCCAGCAGGGTCTGGTGAGTGACCCCTGAACGCAGGGGGGCTAAGGCCAGTCCCACCCACTGCCTCTCTGAGTCCCCAGTTGCGCCTGGGTGGGTATAGCCTGGTCTTCCTGTCCCCAAAGTACAGCCATAGTCTGCTAGAGGTAGAGGGATGGGGTGTCCTCAAGGTCGGGGGCTGAGCTCGGGTCTGCAGCCTCACCGGGCCCCAGGCCAGCTTTCATCAGAGCGCCCCACATGCTGCACAAACCCCAAGGGGATCAGAGGGTTGGCAGTGTGTTAACTGAGTCCCTCCTGGTGCCGGCACCCCACGACATCCCTTGCCTATGTTCTCGTTGACCTCTGGGGGGATCCTCATGATCTTCTGGTGGGATCCTGCCAGGAGCCTCTGATACAGATAAGAAAATCGCGGCTCAGAGAGAGGGAGCAGCTCGTCCCAGAGCCACTGCCGATCAGATAACCGAGTCAGCATTTGAAACAAAGTCCGCTGCATTCCCAAGCCAGTGGCCTGACGTCCATTATTGCCAAACCCCAGAAACGCTGCGGAAGATAACCCTTAGGTCCCCTGCCCTCAGATAAGGGATCTGGGTGCAGAGGGGTGTTATGATTCACCCAGGGCCATAAAGCAGGGAAGAGCGGCAGGCCGCTCTGAACTCTAGTCCTGCCGTCATCTTGATGCCACAGGGGGACTACCCCTGCCGTGCCAGCCTTGGGGAGGGTGCCCTCACTTTGAGCCTCGATATGAACCTCTGCTGGGACAAATGTGTCCTTCACATCCTGTGGGCTGCTGGGTTCCGGGCCCCAGAAGTGGCATCATCTCAGGGCTGTCACCGCGAAAAGGCCTGTGACTGGGCAAGGTGCCAGGGAGGCGCTGGTCATCCCTTCCCCTCCACAGCCACAGGATAAAGGGTTCAGGGGAACTTGAGGAGCCTGTCCCTCCCTGGGTGGCACTTGGGGCAGATCACCCCAACTTGATGAAACAACTCGGTCCTCATGAAGTCTGAGGGAGAGGGTGTGAAAGGGGCCGGGAGCCGGCGTCAGGACAGCGTGGGGGGCAGACTGTCTCAGGGACAGTAGCTTCTAGAACGGTGGTTCTCAATTGTTCACCAGGGAGCATTTGCAAAGCCTGGGGACATCTGAGGTGGCCACAGCTTAGCGGCTGAGTGCTCCTCAACCTACTGGCCAGGCTGGGTAGGTAGGGGCCAGGGATGCTGCCCAACATCCTACAGGGCACAGAACAGCTCCCACAATTGAGCATCATCTGGCCCCAAATGTCATCAGTGTCAAAGTTGAAAAACCCTTTCCTAAAGCAACCTCCACACATCCTTCGCCTCCTCCAGCCTGGGTGGCTCTTTCAGCTGTGCTGGGCCGCCGCTTGCCAGAGGTGCTCTGCCAGGTGTGTACATGCGGGAAGTGGAAAGGGGTCCATCTGTACCCCAAATTATTTAATAAATTAGATCACATTACTGTCCTGCTTGGATCCCTCCTGGGTCTCCCAGTGCTCTTCTGACAAAATCCAAACCCCTTTCCATGACTGCAGGCCCTGGCCCGGTTGACCTTCCAGCCCACTGCCTGCCTCCCCCAGAGCACACCTCGAGGCCTGTTGTCCTTAAGCACAGCCTGGCACTGGCGGGAATGTTCCTCCTTGCTCTCCTCAGGGCAGGCTCCTCTCTTCTCCTGCATCTCCTCAGTGGGGCCTCTCCTGACCCCCCCTGTGAGAGGAGGCCAAACTCCCACCCCGCCCTTGTCCCAATCACGCTGGCCGGCCTCACCATCTGCTCGATGGACGCTCCACACGGGCAGGCTCTTCGCTGGTTTCGTTCCCTGCGTACCAACCGTTCTGGCACATTTTCATTACTGCTAGTATCCGCCTGAATCCTTATGTGAATTTTCTTATTTTACAGCTTTCCTGTCTGCCTCCCCGACTACAGAATGAGCACCGCGAGGGCAGGAGCTATCTGGCTGGTTGTCTAGTTCCCCAGCACCTGCAACAACAGCCAGCACGGGGCAGGTGCTCGACAAAAGGAGTTCCTCAGGAGTTGGGGTTCCCCACCCCAGCCACTATCCTTCCTGCTTCGGGCTGGAGAGTGCCAGTTTTGCCATCGCCAAGGGAGAGAAACACTGTCCCCCCGAAACAGGGGGACACAGTGCACCGACAGTTAAGAACATGATGTGGGTTTGCCTCCATGAACACTGGCTGTGTGAAGGCAGCAAGTTGCTTAACTGCGCGGAGCCTGCCTTCTCCTCCATGGAAAGGGGATAAGAATAGAACAGACTTGATAGCATTGCTGGGGGCATCTGGCATGCAGTTAGAGGTGAATAAATGCTGGCCAATATATTTCATAGAAGTGATGCTCACAGGCCATCTGCCTGCCCCAGAGAAAATGACAAAGCCTTGGCACAGAGGCTGACAAGCACTCCTGTCCCCGGTGGCAGTCCAGACTCCGCTCTGCACTTCCTGGTGACCGCCAGATGTGCAGAAGCTGGAAACTCACATTCTCATACAGGAAACAGGGAGCTCTGAGGCCGGCTCTGGATCTTGCCTAGGTCGAGGGTGGACGGTAAGATCCGGGGACATTCCCTGTAGGCAGAAGGCGGCACTCAGGTTTTGGGAGGGGGCGGATGAAGCAGGCAAATGGTCCAGCTAGAGCAAGGCCACGAGAGGTGACGGAGCAGCAAGGGAGCCGCAAGCCCTAATGGGACGCCTGTTACTGGCAGGCCGGCGGCAGGAACTGAGCAGAAGAGCACGAGCCAAGGACATGGCTCCTGACTGCAGGGCATGTGGGCAGGGTAGTCAGAGGGCACTGCCATGGGAGTAGGGGGTACAGCTAGTACATGTTATAGGAGCTCAGTGAAGGCACAGAGCTCTGTGGAGGCCACTGCATGGCACTACCCAGGGGTTGTCATGCTGTCTACAAGAATGGCACCAGTGGAGTCGGGCAGTGCCCGGCCTGTGCAGCACCATGACCAAAGTATCAGGATGAGCTCCCCAGAGGAAACAGTTTGATACAATATGACTCCAGAGAGAGCAGGATCCCCAGAGAATGCCCCCAAGCTCCAGGCAGGGCTGTTACCTACTGTAAGATCTGGGCACCCTCTGGATCCCTCCTCATCGGGTCTCTGAGGAGCTTCAATACATGGAGTCCAGTGGTCTCTCCTAGAACTGCAACCATGTCTGAAAGGAGAGAAGTGGGGACAGATGGAGGGTATGATGCCACATAAGTTACCTGGACTGTTCTGAGCCTTAGTTTCCCACCTGACGAAACGGGGATAATGTCCACCTGCACTATGAGAGTTCATTCCACACACATAGCAAATCAGAGCTCCCAGGGCACAATAGAATCATAGTTATTATTACTGCTGCTCTCTCTGGATAAGGTGGCTCTGGCTAGCAGTGTGCCAAAGGGTTTGTAAATCAGAGTATCACATCTCTATCAACAAGTACAGGCTTAAGCATCAGTGTTGGGTTGAGCCCAGGTGCAATCATTATCTAGGTGACCTTGTGCCAACCTCTCCGCATTTCCAATGTCTTCAGTGTCCTTTGGGGTTAATGTGCAAGCTCAACAACATCACGCATACAAAACAGCACAGTGAGCAGCCAAAAGGAGTGCTTAGTGAGCACTTAATATCACCATTTTTAATAGGAGCAAAGCTAGAGAATGTTCCATTCATGTTCCACCTCAGCAAGCGTTTATGGAGCATATATAACGTATCAGGCAAAATCCCATGTGCCGCTGACACAATAGGACATGTCTCTGACGTCAAAGTTTAATTTCCAGTAGGATATTCTAATTTTGAAAGGTTCAGCAGGGGAAGATGAGGAGGGAAAGACGAGGACGACAGAATAAGTTTAAAGGGGGGCTTTGTTGCATTCCCCGGGCAAACTTCACAGACCCAAGGTGGGGGTCCGTGAAGCCGCGCCTATTGTCAGGGGAAGGCAGGTGTTTATAGGATGGGGAGAGGGAAACTGGGCTTGCAGGTAACGAGGAACAGTTGTTTTCGGATGGTATCAGCAGGTCCTCATTCTCAGCCTTAGGTGGCTTCCTACCAGATGCCTTTTCGCCCTAGTAACTCTGGTTCCCGCCAGACCTTTCAAATTTGATGGGTGCTTACGAATCATCTGTTTAGTACAGAGGTTCTCCATGTGGCTGGGCAGCAGAAAAGTAGTTTAAAAAGTTTTCCTGCTGGAAAGTAGTGTAAAAAGGCAGGAGCTCAGATCCACGGTCCTTCCTCCCCACTATCCACACTGGCAAATTCGGATTGAGTGAGTTTAGAATGGAGCCTGAAAGGTCCATGCAAGAGGCTGGAATGCAAAAGCCCACCAGGAAGCCCACCTGGGGCAGGAACGCAGGAGCCTGCCTAGAAAATTCAGACAATGAACCCCTTCCCGCCCTAGAATCTTTTCCCGCCCTTGCAAACCCAGTCTCCCACCTGCTCTCTCCTCACCCTGTAAAAGCCTGCCTTCCCCTGGCAACGTGTGCGACTCCACACAGGGGTCCCTGTCTTGGGTCCGTGAATTTCACCTGGGGCACAATAAATTTTCCCTTCTGTAAAGGTAGGACTTGCCACAGTGCAGGTTCTCTGATCCCATGCAGACCGGGTAAAGGAGGAGTCAGAGTCCTCAGTGGTTTTTTGCAGGTCTTTTATTGGGGTTCACCAGGCATATGGCAGGCAGGGGTGCTGGCTGGGGGGCTGGGAGGCTGGCAGGCCTCCCAGCCCCCCAGCAAGTCTTCACTCTATCTGGGCTCTCTGGCGTTCGTTCTGCTGCTTCTCAGCTTCTCTTTCGGTTTCTGCTTCGGCTTCTTGGCTTCTACTGGCGTCTCCGTGATGCCGACCTTAAAAGCACAGTCTTAGCCCAGGTGAATCCCATCTACCCATGCCCACACCCTACTCCAGGTGCCGCCATCAGGCATGCATTCAGGACCTCAAGGATCCATCATCTATCCTGATGGCGGGACGGCAGAAAAGCCTGATATTTTCTTTACCCTACACCTTCCTTTGAGAAAGCTTGGCCTGGCTCTTTCCTTTACCACGCTGAACCTTTCATCTTGGTGCCCAAAACCCAGGAAGGCTGTGTCTCCTGGCACGGGGCCACCTTTCCGTTCCTGGGACCTCTCCTCTCCATTGCAGACCCTCACATCCACCACCGGCCTTAACCCTTGGGGTGAGTCACCTGCCTGACCCGCATTCCTAGGAGGCCCTCACCTCTGGGTATTCAGCTCCTCACCTAACCCCCTCCCTCAGTTGGCTATTCCATAAACCATGGTGGGTCCACGTCAGCCGACTCCAGTTACACCTAGACCCCGGGTTTGGGGACGCCCATCCAGACTAGGTGCCCGAATCCTAGGCAACAAAGGAGTAGTGGAGATGTCCCTCTTGCTTGTTTGCCCCTCACTAAAGGCCAGGACCGAATCGTGGGATGCGGCGATTCAGAGCCTGTGCCCCCCGAGGATGGCCAGATCAAGTTCGTGGGACGCTGTGTTCCTGACTCTGTTCCCCATTAGTTGGTGTAACAAACATATAAAACTTAAAAGTAAAATTGACAATATTAAGATGCCTGCGAGCGCTGTGAGTGAAAGTAGCTGAGGCCACATACTGAGTGGTAAAGACTGATAAAGCAGACAGTGCCTGAGCCTAAACCTGGTAAGAAGGTATAAAAGGAGCAGCTCCCTGAAGCAGACTCAGAGCAGTCCTAACAACTGGCTCGGAGCTGTAAACCTCTCCTTGCTCCTGCTCCTAGCTTGCTCCTGGGTTCGGCACACCAGGAAACCTGCACTTCCAGGCTCTGCTCCCCGTGGCCCCGGTGGCCTGCTCCCTGACAGCAGCACAAGGGGCCTGTCAGCTCAATACCCTGCACGACCATCCGCACTGCAGGCCCTTGAGCCTAGAGACTTCCACGGCCTATGTGGAAGGCCCGGCTAAGACACTTCGCAGCAACTGTCCTTAGTCAAATGTACTTTGGGAACTTGGGATTAGCTTGCCTGTATGAACTTAAGTGTGTGTGTGACCAATATAGGAATGAAATTCTCTTTGAGAGTCAACTCTGACTGAATCTTATATGTCACTCTCATGACACTGTATTGTTTACTAATTGTATCAAAGTTCTTTTCCAGGGCCTCCCTCCCTGTTGGCACAGGTGGTTGAGTGTAGTGCCGTGAAGCTGTCCGCAGCCTCTTCAGTGCCAGTTCAATCCCCACTGGCCTTGGAACAGCCCACATGGCGAGCAGACTCATCCTGTCTTGCCCGCTACTCCAGCTTCACAGAGTATTTCATCAGTCTGCCTATTCTGTTCCCCGCTCTGTCTCTGGTGAATCCTCTCACCCTCCTGCGCATCTGGCCTGTAACCAGTTCTTGCATAAATAAAAAAATAAAATAAAGTTCCTTTCCATTAAAATCTCATATGTTTTGTATTGATGTGGCGGATGGCAGAACCTATTTAGAGCAGGCAGGTTTGTGGGGTCTGGGGTGCCCCTAACCCTGCACATCAGATATTTTAGAATGTGGATTTGAGGATGATCTTAAGCACCCAAAGTCCACCCAAATGGAACTGGCCTAGAGCAAGGCCCCAAACCTGCCCCAAGTCCAAAGCACCTTCCAGTGGGGACCCACAGGAAAGGATCAGAAACAACGAGACAAGTCTGGGAGGAAAAGAGCAAAATCAAAATCAAGACAAGAACCGCCATTGTCACCTCCTCACGGGTCTCTCGCCCACATCTGTGTCACCCCGCCCACGATCAAAAGGCAAACACAGTTTCTTCACGTGTCTCTTGGCTCCACGTGCCTCCTCCAGGTCTCCTTCTGGCTCCTTCCTGCTTCCTTCCTTCTCCATCCCTTCTGCAGCTTCTTGTCCTCTCCCAGTTCAGCTCCAACCTCTCTTGGGGGGGGGCAGGAAACCTGAAACCCCCTTTCCTGGGGACCACCCCATTGCCAGGACACCATGCTTGGAAATGGAGAAGAGCTCCCTTTGCCCTTCCAGGTCAGCACAACAGGTATTTTAGAATGTGGATTTGAGGATGATCTTAATGTTTGCTGAATAGTATTCCATTGTGTATGTGTACCACATCTTCTCGATCCAGTCATCTATTTTTGGGATTTGGTTGTTTCCATATCTTACCTATTGTAAATAGTGCTGCAGTAAACATAGGGGTGCAGATATCCTTTTTAATTAATGTTTTTGTGTCCTTTGGGTAGATTCCTAGGAGTGGAATCCCTGGATCATCGTAGGTCCATTTTCAGTATTCTGAGGAATCTCCACACAGCCTTCCACCGTGGCTGGACCAGTTCACATTGTCACCAACAGTGCAAGAGGCTTCCTTTATCTCCACATCCTCTCCAGCATTTGTTGTTTCTGATTTTTTAACGTGGACATTCTCACTGGAGGGAAGTGTACCCCATCTTCTTGATCCATTCAAGATCCTCCAATTCAAAACACAATCAGAAACCACTTTACACCTGTGAGAAGGGACCGTATCAAAAAGACCAGACATAACAAGAGCTGGCAGGACATGGAGAAAAGGGAACAGTCCTGCACTGTTTTGGGGAATGTAGACTGGTTCAGCCCTGATGGAAAACAGTATCCAGGTTTCCTAGAAAATTAACTGTGGATCTGCCCTAGGACCCAGCAGTCCCATTCCAAGGTATCTATCCTGCCTCAGACAGCCCATGAGAAGTTCTCAGCTATGAAGGAAGACTCAGAGTCTAAGTGAATTAGCAGCAGGGGGAGGCTGGGGAGAACCCTCTAGAGCGGCTCTGCCTCTCACTCTCCCAGCCCAAGCTCTTGTTTAAGAAATGAACAAAGGGATAAGGAAATAGCGTGTATTTGTGTTTATGCTTATACACATGAATAAGTTACTGCTGGAACAAGTCTTTCTAGTTAGTAGGGATCATGCCACAAGACAGCATGTCCTCAGGGAACAGGAGTTCATTTGGGGAAGTGCCGGGGACCAGCCTCGGCAAAATGTCGGTCAGGGGTTCCTGAAAGGATGAGAAGGCATTGGCAAAAATTTAAGGGCTAAGGGGAAGGGGATGAGGTAGTGAGGAGACAATGACACTGGATGAGGTGCAAGTATCTTCTACTGAGAGACTCAGCAGGTCTTTATTTATTCATTTTTAGCAAGCAGAGAAATTACATCATCATGTGCAAAGCAGAGACAATTAGTGTATTCTATTCCCATGGACTCCTGACTCCTACGGGTCTCAGCTAGATGGTAGCCTTCAAGGTTAATAGATAAAAAAAACAAACCTAACACTAAAACTTATTATTTCAGCTAGACCATTACCTAAGACACTGGATAGCCTCCGGTACACTCCTATCAGCTAAAGCCTAAGCATCCAATGACTCTTCTGTTTTTATGGCCTTCAGCCGGAGACCAGCTGCTTCTTAGCTATCAGAATTTTTTCTACCTAGAAACTCCTTAATACAGTTAAATTCATTTAAAAACTTTCCTAAGAAATTTCTTTAAAAAAGGAAATTTCTAAAAAAGCAAAAAAATAATTGTTGTGCAGGCATGTACAATAAATTGTCCTGCATTGTCAAGTGGGCCAAATTGTTTAATAACTAATTTCTAAACATATCATTTTCCATGTCATTTGCTTGCAGTATGCTGATAGATATAATTTATTGTCAAATTTACTTTTTGAGAAATTTTTTCTCTCTTTATGACCAAGAACAAAAAACAAAGGGATGTTATATCTTCAGCCCCACGGTGTGAGGCCCTTTAGCTTCGGCCCCACGGTGTGAGGCCCTTTAGCTTAACTACTTGCCAGTGTCCTATCTGGCTGGGGTATCAAGGTCCCCTGGAACCCCCTGTGCAGAGTAAGCAGGTGCTCTCAGAGACTCCGGCTCCCTTTAGGGCAGCAGGCGCCAACAACCTGCAGAGGACGTTACACTACTTCAAAGGAAACCTGCACCCCCCTGATCATGCAGCACTATTTACAGTAGCCAAGCTATGGAAGGGGTGGTACATAGATAATAGAATACTACTCATCAAGAAACATAAACTAATGCCCTCTGGGGCAACATGGATGGAGTTAATGGAAATAAGCCCAAAGGAGAAAGACAAATATGTCACTTAGATATGGATATAGAGAAATTAAACAAAGGGCTAGATTAAGCCAAACTTAAAAGCTATCCCTTGAGTCTCCCAGGTGGTGCCTGACTACTGGCTGGGGCAGCAGACCAGCCCAGACTTCCTGGTCTGGCAGCGCTGGATGGCAGACTGACCCTCTCTAGTTTGCCATCAAACTCACTTGACGACAAAGCCTGACTCCAGCTGACTGAATCCCCCATTGTGTCTTGTTTCACCTACACCACCACTGGGTCCCCAGCCTCTGCTTTTGCTGGGTCTGAGATGGATCTTGTACTTGATGCTGCATGTAATTTTTTTGTTTGTTTTTAAGATTCATTTTTTATTTATTTATGCATACAAGAACTGGGGCATAGGCCAGAGGTGCAGAGGGGGAGAGGATTCACCAGACACAGAGTAGGGAGCAGAACAGGCTGATCCACTGAAATCCACTGCTGAAGGGAGTAGTGGGTGAGACAGGAGAGGTCTGCTGCCCCCTGTGGGTTGCTCCCTGGCCAGGGATCAAACTCAGGTCTAAGCAGTGATAGCACTCAGACTTAAACCTTACGTCACCAGGGAGGCCCTGTTTTTAATATATTTTTTACATCTTTTGATATTATTTAAAATAATAGAAGCACTCCTACTGCTCTACTTTCATAATAATCACGCTCCTTCCTCCCAGCCCTTGGCTCAGGTTGGGTTTACACGTGTCTTTGTCACCTTTACTCAGTGTCCATCTCTCATGACAGTGCAAGCTCCATGTCTCCAGGGTCCTCTCTCTGTTCCTCATTGTGTCTGCAGGGGAGGCAGCTTGGGGAGGCAGGAGCCAGCCAGGGAGAGGGATGCTGGGAAGTGAAGGGGAAGCAAAGGCAGAGAACACTTGGGAGATGCTCCCTGGTTCACTGAGAAAAGCATTTCTCAAAGTGTGGTTGTGGAATCCTTGAAGTCACCCAGAGCCTGTCACAGGAGCCACGAGGTCAAAACTATTTTCAAAACGTCACTTAGACACCATTTGTCTTTTCACTATTTCGCCATCTGCTGAGGTAAAACTTACTAAAAATGGAGCTTATATTACTAACTGCAGTTATTCTTCACAACTACTTACCTCAGAAACACAACTCCAAGCCGGTTTCATTTCAAAGTTTCTTGGTTGAAGCATTAAAAATTATCTTCATTATTCTATCATCCTCAAATCCACATTTTACAACATCTGATGTGATGACACGCAAGTGCACACACAACACTCCTGCTGCGTCCCCAACTACCATGTGCCAAGAAAAATATTTGCATGAGATGAATTAGACTATTTTTCTTTTTTGTAGGCAATACCATCTTCACATGAAGGAATGAATGACAGAATCTGTGGCTATTTGATTTGGTTAATTAGCAGACATTGTCCTGAAAATGAGTGTGTGCTCCTTTGAGAAAATCAACTGACAATTGATAACTGACGGTAACTTCACCTTGACCAAATATAAGTGCTCAGAAAAAAACAGAATCATGGAAAATTGTGTCCTATCACTAACTTGACAACTTCTAGTACTACTTTTACTTTTTGGATTTGTGATGAAAAATAAAATGAATTTTTTAAAATAATTTGATTCCAGTGTAATGAACATTGAAGAGCTTTATAACTTATGAAACAATATATTACTTTAAAAAAATCACACATTAAAACTAACTGCAGTTAGTTTTATGCAGGAGAGGTCTATGGAAATGTAACAGAATAAGAAATATTCAATGATATTGTTTCAGTTTTCACTTTGCAAATAACCTGGGAGAAAATACCACCTGTATAGATTCAATTTAGTATCAAAGTGGAATGTTCACAATAATGTGAAAACACTACTCCTACGTATTTGTGTGAGGCTGTAGACATTTTTTTCATAGACTTCAACCAGAACCACAGCTAAATGCAGAAGGAAACATGAAAATCCTACTGTCTTCTAATGAGACAGACAAGAAAAAACAATGAGACAGACAAGAAAGACAACTACAAACATAAAACACGTGAAAGATCCACTCTTCTCATTGCCCTGATTATTTTCAGAAAGAAGTTATTTAACAGGCATTGATTATTGATTATCCATCAACAGGCATTGGATTATTACTATAATTCTAAATGAAACAGCTACATGATCAAACTCAGCTTTATTCCCAGTGTGGTAAATATGGGGAGCGATACCTCCTAAACAAGGTTATACTTGGCGTCCTCCCTAATTTGTAAGACTGGACACGGATCCGGAATGGAAAATGACTGAGAATCGCAGACCCAGTGCCTGGGTCACGGAGACAGGGTGAGGAAGCTTTGGGTGAGGAGAGGAGGGGGCAGAGCAAAGCCCCAGGTCCCTAGTCTGGTTCTCATAGTTCCAGGCCCCAGGGCTGTGTCTAAGGCAGGAAGGTTACTATTGGGGATCCCCCACTGCCCCCTTAGCCTCACTTCTGTCTCCACCACCTGTGCTGGGCCCTGGACACTTGTGACTCCTCCCCAGTTCTCAGTCCTAGTGCCTGGAGGTTCCCAGAGAACCAGTCAGCATCACTGCCTGCCCAGGTAAGTCTCCACCCACCAGCCTGGAGTCAGAAGTGCCCCAGACCCCAGCAGTGCTGGTCATGGGGCGCCCAACCCTCCTCCTGCTGCTTCTCTCCAGGGCTCTGGCCCAGACAGACACCTGGGCTGGAGAGTGCAGGGTGGAGGGAAAAGGCTTCTGCAGAGGAAGCTGCTGCCTTAGGCCCCTCTGTCACCCCCGTGGCGCCCCTCAGTCCTGGTCCCTTTCTGCCCCCCCACCTGCCTCCTCCTTTTGTCCCCTGAGTCTTGCCCCTTCTGGACCCGCTGCCCATGTTCAGTCTCTGGAGCTCCCTCCCTCCTGGACACTTTCTCCCCTGCCCCATCTCCCGGGGACTCAGGACCTGCCCAGGGAGGAGGGTCAGCCTGGCTTTCACCCCTCCCCGCCCCCAGGCTCCCCCTCTCCGAGGCTTTTAGAAATGGTGATGTCCAGATCCGGCCTCGGGGAGCCCTGGTAGATCGCGGGGGCTACGTGGACGACACGCAGTTCGGGGTTCGACAGCGACTCCCCCGGCCAGAGCGCGGAGCCGCGGGCCCTGGGCGGGCGGGCGGGGCGGGAGGGTCGGGCGAGGAGACGCGGCTCCGCAGACACTCGGCGCGGAGGCTCCAAGCGCTCCTGGAGGCCCCGCGCGGCCGCCGCAGCCAGAGCCGGGCCGGGGAGCAGCGCGGGCCGGGGCGGGTCACCGCTCCCGCCCCACCCCCCGCCCCGAGTCTCGGGGCCCGTGACCCCCGAGGCCGTGGCCCCTGCCAGGCCCCTTGACCAGGGAAGAGCCCGCGGGACTTTCACCCTTTAGGTTTTATTTAAGTTTGGGATTATTCAGGGCGGGAGATCGGGTGCGGGCGGGAGACCACGGGGTGACTGAAGGGCGGGCTCAGGGTCTCCCACGATCCAGAGGACTCTGGGCTGCGCCGCGGGGCCCGACGGCGCCTCCCCCGCGGGCACGACCAGCTCCCCACGACGGCGCCGGGGACGCGCCCTGGGCGGGGACCTGCGCGCCTGGACCCGGCGGGCCCGCGGCTCAGCTCCCCGGCGCGAGGGGGAGGGGGAAGGTCGGGCAGAGCAGGACGGGAGCGGCCTGGGGGGCGGGTGCGTGGAGGGGCCCCCAGACTCCTGGGGATGGGGAAGGAGGCGCCGCAGCTCGGAGGTGAGAGGGCTGCGGCCTTTGATCTCCCTGAGGCGCGCACCCCGCAGGGAAATGGAATCATGGTGAGGAAGCGCCCCCTTCTGGCCAGAGAGGGAGCTGTCGGCCACGTTTTCCAGCTCTGGGATGGAGACTGGCCTGGAGGCTCCTACTTTTTCTGAAGGACAGTTAAGGAATCCAGTTTCCCCTGAGAAAGAGGGGAGACCATGCCTGAAATCACCCCTCACAGGATCTTTTTGACCGGCAGCCATCATAGGAACAATGAGTTTCTCTCTCGAGATCTTGTTTTTTGGTCAGAGAGCATTTTTGGAGATCTCACTCCTGCCTGTCTGTGTCATCACCCTCCACCCAAGTCAGCAACAAAATGCTCAGAGACCTGCATCCCACCCTGGGCTCCCACCTGCTATCCCGGACTCCCAGACCAGGCTGGTTTCTGGGGTTTGTGCTCCTCCCTCCAAACATACTGTTCTGTCCACTGGAGGATGGTCACATGAGGCTGCTTCAGTGTCCATGCAGGAAACACAAAGCATGAAATTTCCGATTCTTCCCACTCAGGCCCCAGATCACCATATGTGACCCATCACCCCATCTCTGAGCATGAGGGCACACTGAGGTGCTGGGCCCTGTACTTCTACCCTGTGAACATCACCCTGACCTGGCAGCGAGATGGGGAGGACCTGACCCAGGAAACGGAGCTGGTGAACAACAGGCCGGGGAAGGGGGAATGGAAACTTCCAGAAGTGGGCAGCTGTGTAAGTGCCTTCTGGAGAGGAGCAGAGATACACGTGCCATGTGCAGTATGAGGGGCTGATAGCACCCTGAGTCCTGAGATGGAGTAAGGAGGGGGATGTAGGCACACGGCTGACTCAGGGGCATCAGAAGCCCTTCTGGAGACCTTCAGAAGATCAGACTGAGGCCTCAGGTTCAGGGTCTGACCTTCCCTCCCCTTCCAGTGCCACCTCCTCAGTTCTCCATCCTTGCCATGGTCCTCATTTCCAGCTCGGTTTTCTTTGTAAGTGTGCTCATTGCACACAAGGTAGCTTCATGTGTGAGGGGGTAGAAGAAGCACTCAGGTGGGGAAGGAAGGGGGGGGGGATCTTGTCCACTGGGGGCTGTCATGTCCCAGGGAGAACTTGCCCTGCCTGGTTAATGGGAAGTACCATCCACACACGTATGTTGCCCAGAGGGCATTTGGTCCAGTCCCCCCTCATCTCCTTTCCTCATTTTTCCCAGTCCTGACCTGGGACTTTACTCACAGTTCTGGAAACTTTTCTGTTCTACAGGATTAGAAGATTCTTTCAGGTTTCTGACCTGACTCCTCCCTGGTCTCACATGATGCTTCTTCCCACAGGAGGACAAGGAGGAAGCTATACTCAGGCTGCAGGTAAGTGTGGATCAGGGGTTTGATCCCTGAGCCCCTGGGAGCAGTGTAGATAGAGCCCATGGGGGAGTCACTCTCATCAGTTACTCCCGTGGTCTCATCTCTGACCAAGTTTTGTTGTGTTCTCCCCCAGGCAGCCACAGTCCCAGGGCTCTGAATTGTATCGCAGCCCCTAAAGGTGAGACCCTGGAGGACTGCAGTGGGGTGGGGGTTGAGGCAGAGAGGCTGGACTAGGTGATGGGGATGCTTTCAGGAGGACATCTTGAGAATGCAGTGGACCATTGATAATGTTAACACTCAGGTCATTCACCTGAATTTCTTCATGATTATTTTCTTTCACAGTGTGAGACAGCCTTGTGTTGGCCTGAGTATTACAGGATTTCTTTTTGCCCACATTTTGTGCCTTTATGATCTCCTGGTTTAAACCTTCACACCTGTGAGTATGGCCCATATCCAAAAGACCAGAAAGGCAAGTGCTGGCAAGGACGTGGAAAAAAGGGGACAGTCCTGCATTGTTTTTGGATATAGACGGAGCCAGCCCTTATGGAAACAGTATTGAGGTTTCTTAAGAGAGTAAATGTGGTTCTGCCATTGGGCCCAGCAATTCTACTCTGAGGATCTCCTCACAGAGGATAAATATTCTCCTGTGAAGGGACCTGCACTCCCGTCACCACTGCAGCTCTATTGACAGTAGCCAAGCTATGGGAACCACCTGAATGCCCCAGACAGGTGGGAAATTAAGAAGAAGCTGGGTTTACATGTATACATATATGTATATATACAGAAGACTCCAAAGGAGATGAACGTTGGGGTTTGGGGGAGGGAGCTGTCAGGGGTAAAGATGCCACCACATCCTAGCAGGGGCCAGGGTGGGAGGAGGGGTCCTGCCCAGCTCTTTACACCTCAAGCCAACCATGAGATATTTCTAAACCTCCTCCTCTTCTGCAGGTCCAATGCTTTTTCAGTTCTGCTCAGAAGCTTCTTCTCCATGGAACTGTATTTACTGAGGTGTTGTTCTGACACTCTTTACTCTGTGTGCGATTTGAATTTATTTATTTTGGCGCTTGATATATGATTCTCCCTTGTTTTCTTATGTTGTGTCTCCCTTATTTCCTGTTACACACACACACACACACTCTCCCCTCTCCTTGGGAACCAGACCCTCACTCAGCACTGGGGTTACTCTGACCCTCTGTCTCTGGTCCCTTCAGAGTCACCCTCTCTGCGGTTTCTCTACTCAGCAGTGTCTGAGCAGCCCCAGGAGTCCCTGCACCTCCTGCCTCTGACCTTGTGGGAAACCAGCCCCTCAGCCTGCATGGCAGTGAGGAGGTGAAGGCAAAGTCCTGCGGTCAGTGACTGATGGAGGAGATAATTTACTTTTTTTTTCTTTTCCCCTCATTGTATTATTCAGTTGAGATTAGCATTGGTTTACACACTGTATGTGTTCAGAGACAAGGGTCACACCTCTTCAGATGTTTGTTACCACATCACACCCACCCTCATGGCTCCCATAGTCTTCACCATCGTCCATTGGGCCCTCTTCCTACTTTGTTTCCTACTCTTACCCCAGCCCATAGCTTCAATTCTGCAGTAATATATAGAGAGTATGTTTTGGTTTAGTTTATTTTTTGGTTTAGTCTGTCCCTGCTTTGTTTCTTTATATTCCAAATATGAATGAAATCATCCAGTATTTAACTTTCTCCTTCAAACTTATTTCACTTAGCATAATCCCATCCATATCTATCCATGTTGTTGCAAATTCAATATTTCATCTTTTTCACAGCTGAATAGTATTCCATTGTGTATATAGTTTGTGTTCTTTATCCCCTCACCTGCCGTTCGGCCCTCAGGTTGTCTCCATTGCTTGGTTATGGTAGACAATGCTGCAGTGACCATCAGAGGCGCATATTCCTCAGAATTAGTGTTTTTACCTTCTTTGGATAAATACCAAGGAATGGGATGGTTGACCATGTGACACACAGGTCTATTTTGAGGAACCTTCTTTTTTTTTCCATAGGGTCAGCACCAATGTGCTATCCATAGAAAAGAGAGGTTCCAGGTTACTGCCCCGCCCAAGGAAAGGTAAAGCTGAGCAGGGATGAGAAGCTAAGGAAGAGGAGGAAGATGTGGAGTAAGATGAGGAAAAGAGACTGTAGGAGGCACATGGAGCAGAGAGACATGTGACGAAGAAGCCACTCTTGCTCCTCAGGCTTGGACTTGTGCCAGGAAGTTGAAGACATGGAAAGAGACATGTGAAAGAGACAAAGATGTGGGTGAGAGGCCCATGGGGAGGCTGACAATGGCAGCTGTTATCTTGATGTGGATTTTGATTTTGCTCGTATCCTTCCAGACTTGCCTGGCCCCTCCTGCCCCTGTCCCATGGGTCTCTACCAGTAGGTGCCTTAGCCTTGTGGCAGGCGTTCGGGCCCCAGTGGGACTGCTTTGGGCCAAGCCTGTTTGGCTGGGCATTGACCCATGAGGGGACGGGTAACTTTGGGTGCTTCACTTGGAAACTATTCTGATTATATTCTTGCTCTTCTCTCTATTGCACACTGATTCTCTATTTTATACTAACTGTATTAAAGTTCTTTTCTATTGAAGGTCTTACACTTTAGATTATGTTTTGTCTTTATGCAGCTGATGGCAGATCCCATGTAGAGCGTGCAGTCCTGATGGTCCAGGGAAACCCTCATTCTGCCCACTAACAGGACCAGACATCATTCCCACCCACCATGTACCAGAGTTTCTTTTCCTCCACACCCTTCAGTGGGTCATCCTCACAGATGTGAGGTGGTAACTCCTTGTGGCCTTACTTGGCATTTTCCTGACAGCACATGATGACAAACATTTATCCATGTACCTATTGGCCACATGTATGTCTTCTTTAGGAAAGTACAAATTTAGCTCCTCTGCCCCTGTTTTGATTGGGTTGTTTCTTGTTTTGGAGTTCTTTGCAGATTTTGGATATTAACTCCTTGTTGGAATGATGATGTGCAAATAGTTTCTCTGATTTGATATTCTCTTTTCATAGTTTCCTTCACTATGCAGAAGCTTTTTCGTCTCATGTGATTCCACTGGTTTCTTTTTGCTTTTGCTTCTTTGGAGCACAGAAGACACTATGGGCACTGAAAATACTCTGCATGATATTCTCATAATGGACACAGGTCATTATACATTTGCCCAACACCCTGAGAATGGACAACACCAGAGTGAACCCAAAGGGAAACCATGACTTTGCAACTATCACGTGCGGATCCATCACTTGTAACCCACGTGTCAGTCTGGTCTTAACACCTGATTTGGTCATGATGTGTGAAGAGTTTTACAAGTTGAGGAATGAAGTGTAATTTACTTTAGAAAGCATATTTCATGCTCATACAAGGACATTTAAATATCACTCAAGGATACGCATAAGTCATTCCCCACCACCCCCAACACCCCAGTTAGCCAGTATCTGCTCAAAACCAGTTAGCAATTTATCTTTTTCTCTTCTAAATATATATATATATATATATATATATATATATATATATATATATATATATATATATCCATGCTCCTGTCTGGGCAATAGTGTTTGTTTTCCCATCAGTAAAGGAGTTCAGGTCACAGGAGAGACTGAAAATGCAAACTCTGCACAATACCAGGTGCTGTCCCAGGTGTGAACAACGGGAGCCTCATCACATTTGTTTTCTGTTTTTTTTTTTTTAATTTTTTATTTATACCAGAGCTGGGGCACAGGCCAGAGCTGTGGGAGGGTGACAGGACTCACCAGTGACAGAGCGGGGAGCAGAACAGGCAGACGGACTGAAAGCAGAGCAGTGGGCGAGATGGGATAGGTCTGCCTCACCAAGTGGGATCTCCCTGACTGGCCAGGAATTGAACCGGTGCTGTGGAGGCTACGGACAGCTTCACAGAGATGCGCTCAACCCGCTGCGCCACCAGGAAGGACCCCTCATCACATTCATTTTAAAAGATGCTTTAGGGGCTGAGAGACACATCAGAGCCCTGGGCACTGTCGCTGCCTGGTTGAGAACAAATCAGAACCTGGTCAGAGATGAGACTACAAGAAGGACTGATGAGGGTGACACCCCCATGGAGCCCATTTATACTGTCCCCAGGGGCTCAGGGATCAAACTGCTGATCCACACTTACCTGCAGTCTGAGTGTAGCTTCCTCCTTGTCCTCCTGTGGGAAGAAATATCATGGGAGACCTGGGAGCTCTCAGGTCAGAAGACCTAAAAGAATCTTTTAATCCTGCAGATCAGGGAAGTTTCCAGAACTGTGAGTAAAGACCCAGGTCAGGACTGGGAAAAAATGAAGAAAGGAGGTGAGGGGGGACTGAACCAAATGCCCTCTGGGCACCACACATATGTGTGGATGGTACTTTCCATTAACCAGGTAGGGTAAGTTCTCCCTGGGACTTGAAAGCCCCAGTGGATAAGATCCCCCAAATCCCTTCCCTACCTAAGCGTTTCTTCCTCCACATCACAGCTGCAGCCACCACAGCTCCAGTGAGCACAGCTCCAAGGAGAACCAGGCCAGCAATGGTGCCCGCGGTGGGGATGGAGGACTGAGGGGGCACTGGAAGGTAAGGGAAGATCATACCCTGAGCCCCAGACCTTATCCTGACCCTCTGAAGGGCTCCAGAAGGGCTCCTGATGGCCCTGAGAACAGCCTCAGTGCCCACATCCTCCTACTCACCCCATCTCAGGACTTGGGGCTCCAGCAGCCCCTCATGCTGCATGTGGCATGTGTATCTCTGTTCCTCTCCAGAAGGCACCACCACAGCCGCCCACTTCTGGAAGGTTCCATCTCCCCCCGGCCTGGTCTCCACCAGCTCCATCTCCTGGGTCAGGTCCTCCCCTTCTCACTGCCAGGTCAGGGTGATGTCCGCAGGGTAGAAGTCCAGGGCCCAGCACCTCAGGGTGACCTTATGCTCAGAGGTGGGGTGGTGGGTCATGAGTGTCTTTGGAGGATCTGTAGTGGTAAACAGAAAATTCACTCTGTGTTTCCTCCATGGACACTGAAGAATCCTCATGAGACCATCCTCACAATGGGCAAGATAACTGGTGTGGCAGCAAGAAGCATAAAATGTAAAAAACAGGCTAATCTGGGGGAATCTATGAGATTCTCCTATTCCTTAGAAAGTTCTAGAATGAGGACGAAAACCCAGGGTAGGATGAAGCAGAGGGAGTGGAACACAGACTTTTTATTCCTGACCTGGGTGGAAGGTGAATGACACAGAAAAGCAGGAATCACATAACTGACAATGTTCTCAGACCAGAAACAAGACTGAGAGAGAAACTTGTGGTTCTCAAACAGGCCCCTGGTCAAAAGGACCCGGTGACGTGTGGTGTCAGGGACTGTCTGTCTTTCTCAGGAGAGACGGGATCCCTTCCCTGTCCTTCAGGAGAAGCCGGAGTCTCTGGGAGTCTCTCTAGTGCAGAACATGAAACCCAGGGGAGTCCCCCTCTCGGGACTAGAGAGAGGACTCATTTCCCGCAGTTAGCCCAGGCAGGGGAGGACCGGGAGTCCTCCAGGCCCCTCTTACCCGTGCGCTGCAGAGTCTCCTTCCCGTGCTCCAGGAATGTGCGCAGCCACCTCAAGCACTTGCCCTCCGCATAGTTCCTGAATTTCTCTGCCTCACCCCGGGCCTCCCACTCGCGCCGGGTGATCTGAGCGGCCGTGTCCGCCTCGGTCCAGGAGCGCAGGTCCCTGTTCAAGGCCAGGTAATTGGCGCCCTCGTAGGCGAACTGTCTGTACCCGCGGAGGAGGCGCCCGTTGGGCCCCACGTCGCAGCCAGACATCCTCTGGAAGGTGTGAGAGCCTGTCCCTGCCCGCGTCACCCCGCGGTCACCCCACCCGCGCCCCCTCCCGCCGGGAATAAACTAAAACAGAATGAAACGGGGTGAAAGTCCCACGGGCTGTTCCAGGGCAGGTTGCAGAGAAGCCTGGAGGGGGAGACCCTGAGCGACCCCCCCGTCCGTGGGGATGGGGGTGCTGACCCGGCCCGGACCCGCGCCAGCTCACCGGTCTCGCTCTGGTTGTAGAGGCCACGCAGGGCGTCCAGCTGCGCTCGGAACCACAGTGTGAGGTCCCTTGCGATCCGCGTCTCCTCGTCCCACTCCTCCTGCCCCAGGTGCTCAGCCCAGGGCGCCCGCGGCTCCACTCTCTGGCCCGGAGAGTCGCTGTCGAACCGCCCGAACTGCGTGTCGTCCACGTAGCCCACGGCGATGTACCGGGGCTCCCTGAGGCCAGGCCGCGACATCGCGGTGGAGAAAACCCTCAGGGAGTGGGGGCCTGGGGGCGGGAGGGGAGACCCGGGCTATTCTTCTCCCCTTCGGGGGCTCGAGTCCCAGGGGGCGCCCACGAGACAGAAAGTGGGTGAAAGACGAGTGAGACCGAAAAGCGGCTGCGGGACGAAAATGGCCGGGACTCGGGGGCCAGAGGAGGCTGGGGTCTCGGGGGACGGAAAGGGGCCAGGGCGGGGCGGGGCCGAGGTGGGGGGACAACTAGGGCGGCGGCGAGGTCGCACCTTTCCCACGCCCGCCCGCGCCCTCGCTCCCGCCTCTGGGAGCGCCCTGTCCCCTCCCGAAGCGCACTCACCCGCCCGTGTCTCCCTCGGGGCCGCGGCCACCGCGAGCAGGAGCAGGAGGGCTGCGCCCCCCATCCCCCAGGACGCGCCCCCACCCGGGCTGGGGAGACGGAGTCCCGGCGGGTGGGGAGGGCTTTGGAACGGGAGCCGCGGGGCTGCTGATTGGCTGCTCTGGAGACCTCCAGGCAATGGGGAGTGAGCCCTGGGGTGAGTCACCAGTATCCAGGAGGGAGGACCCGACACAGGTTGTGAGAAGTGAAACTGGGGAGGTGAGGAAGCCCTGACAGTCACCTTCCAGTCCGGAACAGCGCCCTGGGGACTGAGACCTTGAGAGCCACACCCCGAGACCCTCCTCTCCTGCACCAAGACCTTTGTCACACTGTTGCCTCCCTGAATCCAGGCCCAGGAACTGGGTCAGCGATTCTCAAACATTTTTCTTTCAGGATGTCTCTGCAGTCTCACAAATTATTACGGATCCCATGCATAATTTTTATGTGGGCTATAGCTTTAAATATTTACTTTACTAGGATAAACCTTTCAAAAAGATGTTATTACTTCTTTACTTTAGAATATTAATAACCAATGTATGCTAACAAAGCATTTTTAAGAAAATAACTTTCTGTAAATGTAAGGATAATTGCACAATTGTATGATTTTTTTTAAAAAATTACCTGTTGTTTCACTACATGTTAAATAGAGATATAATGTTAATTACACTGGGATCAAGTTATCAAAAACCGTATGCTTTACTTTTTACCACAGATCCCAAAAGAAAAATTAGTCCATACTGTAAGTTGTCAAGTTTACAGTGATAGGACCCAGTTTTCCATTATTTTGGTTTTCTCTTGGAGTTTACATTTTATTAAGGCAACAAGTGTCATTAGTTGATTTTTAAAAGGGACAGATGCACGTTCATTTTCAGGAAAGTGTCTGCCGATTCAACTAGTCTAAGTAACCATGGTTTTAGCCATTCCTTCCTTCAATTAAAAATGATACTGCCTAAAAGAAGAGGTGAATTCACTTCATACATTTTTCCCCCTGGGACATAGCACTTTGGACTGTAGCAGACATGCCTTATGTGCAC